GGTGCCCAAACGGAACCTTAACGGAATAGTCATGACTGTAGCAAAGTGGCGCAGGCGGCGTCAGAGGTCAACCTGTCAGGAGTGATGCAGTCTTTGACCGGACGGCCAGAGCTAAAGACTATTAGCTAGATTGCTGGCTGGCCGGCCGGCTGTTGCTCTCCATAAAGATCCATACATACATAGGCCAACGACGTACATGCACGCGCACTCACGCGCAGTAACCCGTCAGCAAAAGGCGCACACCCATCTCGCGCGTCTTCATTCCCACGCCTTGCTTTGCTTTCCATCTGCCAGCTGCATGCCAAGCGTGCACACCATCCCGCCTGCCGTCTCATACGTGCCTTTTTCAAATTTGTCCAAAAAATACAAACGGCAGGGACGCACAACACCTGGACGAATGCACACACCTGGAAGAGGGGCTCCTGGCCCAGAGCAAGCCGGGCCGCATCGATGCAAATGGTCGCAGTCAAACCCCAAACGTCGTATTCCTACAGATGTCCGTATTTCGCAAAGCAGTAGGGTGCAGTGAGCTGGCAGCAGTAGGCAGGGTACTTGGGGCAAGATGGCAGCTACATGGGTGGCTGGGAGCTCAAATTTTTACCTTAGGAAGTATTTAGGGTAGCTAGCTACGGGGGACATTTCGCATTCCAGCTAGCCGGTATTCACAGAGCCAATAGCGCTCGCCCTCCATCCTCCGCCACATGCAAACACACAGCCAGGTAAGATGCCGCCAGCTGCCCCCCTCCTGCTGTCCCCCTCTCGCTCACCCCGTACAAGAACGAATGTATCCGGTACTGGTGTTCACCCCAATGGATATCCCGGAAAGTGTGAACGGCGTCCTCAAACACCACGTCCTCGCCCAGCGTCCGGCTCGCTTCACCCTCCTCCAGGCCGCTGTCTGGACCTCCAGAGGCGCCCCTCTGCCCGCCCGCCGCCACCGCGGCCCCGCCATCTATGGCTAGCCAGCTCAGAGTCATGGGTCGCTTCGCTGCAGGGGCCTCTGCAGCCGCTGACGCCCCCGGACGGCCACGTCGTCCCCCGGCCTTGCTGCCGCTTGGGGTGTCGGTCGTGGTCTGAGGAGCTGCTGCTTGGAAGCCACTGAGAACCGAGGCCCCGCAGACCCGTGGGTCACTGAACTGTCCCAGGAACACCGCGAGCGGCACCGTGAACGCCGCCGCCACCTCGTGTGGGTTGGGCTCCGGAACCAGGTCGGCTGGCACCAGCGCCAGCACGGGAGTCACGCTGAGGTGGTGCTTTGAGAGCACGGGAGGCAGAGAGGTGATCACGGTGACGCGAGCGGGGTCCAAGCCAAGCTGTGGCGGCGGGGATACACGACATAGGGGGAATAAGAGACACCAAGGATGTGTGTAAGTACCAATGCAAGTGCAAAGCGCCCAGTGACTTCGCGCGGGGTCAGCTAATTCACGACTAATTCCATCAGCTGCATCACATAAACCCTAACATTTCGGACTGTTACGCGCGCAAATACACGACCGTGCCACCACGCACCTCTTCTTGGGCCTCTCGGAGAGCAGTCGCGGCGTCATCGACATCGCCTTCGTCACGCTTGCCTGTCAGGTGCGGGTGTTCGCTGACATGCATCCCAAAAAGAGAGAGAAAGAGAGAGAGAGTACTGAAAGGCACATGTTGGTTTATGTGTTGGTATGTATGTATATGTGTTTCTACGGTTCGAGTTTTGCATGGCCGTCTGTTCGGGTTTGCAAATGTGGCCGCATGGGGGCTACAGATGGGGACGAACGAATGAACACTGCCCCGAGTCTGAACCGCACTAACTTAGCCTCCAATCACACAGACCGCCCCTCAAGACTTGTTCGGCTAGTGGGCTCGCCTCACCAAGCCCATCCTAAATGCTTAAAAAGAACACACCATGCATCGTCAGAAACGAAAGTGTTCCTACATACCGCTCTCATGTTTCACGGCGATGATTCACGTCTCCCATCACACGCGCTCTCATCGCGCATATACATCTGTGCCCGTGTGTGTGTATGTGTGTGTATGTGTGCGTGTGTGTATGTGTGTGTGTGCTATAGGGAGCGTGGGCATGCACGTAGTGACTCAAACCAGGGGTAGTTGTGGCGTCGTACCTGAGGTGCGCTTACATACAAAACCATATCGGGTAGGGGGCCATGTATGTGGGGGCCTCATGGCACTGCCATAAGGGGATCGGTCCTACTACATGGTGATCTAACCATTGCCTGCTAGCGCCCCTACAGTACATATCTGCGGCGCTGCACGCGCTCACCGCCGGGCAGGCAAACCTCGCCGCGATGACTTTTGAGCTTAGCCGAGCGCTGCGTCAGTAACACACGCACCACGCCGCTCTGGTCCTCGAACAGCCCGACAAGTACCGCGGCAGCCCGGGCAGACACCTGCAAGCGAGTGGCGCAGCAGGGCAGACATACAGATATACGTACATATACGCACGTTGTGTACATTAGTGCATCATGTGATGCTGTCTTTTCTATGCCTACCTACCTACCTACCTACCTAGCTACACATACATACTAGTATTGATGTTTCGCTACAAGAGGTGTGGTACTTCGCAATATTCCTTACAGGGTCGAGAAGGAACTGACAACCGCAGGGCCTTTAACAGCTGCCTACATGCATACTTGTGTGCTTACAGCAGCTACACGGGCGCTGCCCGTCCGTGCAAAGCCAGCCGCCTGTCGTGTGCACGAAATCCCCAATAGATTAAAGGCCACAGACTTATGACTCCAGGCTCCTGAAACCCCAGTCCAACAGTTTCCCGGCACTCCTTACGTGCCAATTCATGTATGTACGTAATCACCATCATTATTTCTTGCCATTGCCCATGCACCGCTACGCAACCGTAACCGCTACGCATGTAACACACCGGCGGAAAGTTCCCCCGGGGCAGAGCCCGCAGCCGCTCCACCACTGCTGTGAGTCGCTGCTTGGGCGGCGGCCAAGCAGCACCACCGCTGCTTTCAACCCCACTTCCAGATCCACTGCCACCGCCGCCGCCTCCTTCATTGCCAGCGTTCGCGCTGCCGCCGCCGCCGCCACCTTCACTGTCGGTATTGGCCGTGCCACCACCCGCTTCACCACCAGTGCCGCCGCCGCACGTGCCGCCGGTGCTCTTCTCCAAAACGTCACCCCCAGCGCCTGCTACGCCGCCAGTGCTGCCACATGCACACGGCTCCAATACTGATTTGGCGTCCATCCCTGTACCGATGCTACTGCGATGACACTGGATGGTGTAGGCTCTACACACTGATGAAGTGTAGGCCTTCAATAGCGTGTTGGTGCGAGCCTGCAGGAGCCGCAGCCGGGTGTAGACGCCGACCGAAACGACGACCAAACCGGTAGTTGATGCTGCTGCAGCAGCCTTGCCAACGGATCCAACAAAAGGAGCCACCGCGAGCGCCGCCGCCGCCACCACCGGTGCCGCAACAACAGTCCTTGCTGTTGGAGAAGTAGCTGTTGGCCCACCGGCCTTGATTTCCAGGTGTGCGAATACAACAATGTCTCGTGCCCCACCCTTCCCGATCTGGCCCACACCCCCACAGTAGCAGCAGCAGTAGCAGCAGCAGTAGTAGCCGCAGTAACAGCAACAGCAGCAGTAGCAGCAATAGCAGTAGCAGTAGTAGCCGCAGTAACAGCACCAGCAGCAGTAGCAAGAATGGCAGCAGTTGCAGCAACAGTGGCAGCAGCTCACGCACAGAGAACACGAGCTGTGTGAGCACATTGCACACTGATTCAGAATGTTGGCTACAATTTTGAGTCTGCGCTGGCTAAGGTTTGCCCGCAACATGCACGTAAGGTGCGCAAGTTACATTTCGTGCTGTATAGATGGTGCGTTTTTACAAACTCTATGAGGCTGAACTGAGCCACCGGATGGGCACTGAGCCACTGAGGCACCATTACCTGGGCCTTAGCCTGCACAGACATCAACAGCAAGCCCTGTATGTCTGTGCGTAGGCCAGGGCCGAGGTAAGGATGCCTAAGTATGCGTGCCTGTGAGTTGATGCCCCAAATTAGTGAGCAACACTGATGCGACAGAGCGCTGCCAAGCGTTGGTCAATACGCCAACGCCTCGCTCTAGTTCTCGCACGAGACGTAAACACAACACCCGCCCTAGCGTGGCCTAACCCCCGGGCCCACCAGCCTCGAGGAGTGGAGCTTGGTATCGTTGTGGATGAAAGCCGATCCGACAGCCTTGCCTTTGGTTGCTGCAAAACAGCGGATGCACCTCGCCGATGACGGCTCGGAAGCGCCACACACGCAGCGAGCTGAAGCTGAATCTCTGCCAGCCCCACAAAGCTGTTAGTGAACGTTTAATGGCTTTTGGCTTGTCTATCCTTTCACCATGGCACAACCCGCCCGCTGGATAGCTAAACGGTTGTTGCTACTTACGCTTGGCAGGGTTACAGGTTATACCTGACAGTTTTTGGTAATGTACATCGATTAGGAATAGACCAGCTTTATCGAAAAATCATGTCTTTCACCAGCTTACGTGTCAACAGCCCATGCTGCTTCGTTGTTCTCCACCAGCTTGATTACTGCACTACGAGCAAGCTCTTACGGTTTCAAGTTCTAACAGTTGAAATCTGAAAGGATTTGCTTGCAACCAGCTCGTACCAGCTCGTACCTGCACAACGGACTCCGTTATTAACCAATCCTATTACGCTGAAGTGGGCGGTGAAAAAACATACCTACCCTATTCGTTGATGTTCCTTAATGTAAATGTTACTTCGTGGAGCGACCTGCTATGCTTGAATGAAGCTTATTGAGAAGCACGATACTGCCAACGTTGTGCGTGCATTCATCAGCCGCCACGCATTGTCACCCCCAAATCATCCATCACAGCTATCTTTCCATACGTGCGTGCCATACGTGCGTCCGGCGGCTCACTACCTATCTATACATGCCTACATATGTATTGCCTCCATAGCAGTAAACACATCTAACTGTTCAGTCAGTAACCACGCATTGCCCCTCCAATTTCCCCATCCTTTAGCAAATCTTTCTGGAATTGACGTACACCATGCAAAAGTAGTATGTGTACCTCGTAGATAGGTGGCGTAGCCCGTGGAAACAATCTAAGCGTAAGCAAGCAAGTGAGCTGCTGTCCCCCGAAGCAACACAACAACGATCCAGGTGCATGCGTGCCGCGGCACAAGCACATACAGCCAACGAGTGGAAAGCCAGCAGACGCATTTGTTCCACGCGTCCCTCCAGCCCAGATGCAGCTGGGCGCCCGGAAAAGTGAGAGATAGAGAGAGCGCGAGCGATAGATCGATAGAGATAGAGAAATAGATAGAGCGAGCGATGGGGATGTGAGCGAGGGTTGGAGAGATCGACAGATCAAGCGATGGAGCAATGGAGCGATAGAGATAGACATATAGAGAAAAACAGAGAGAGAGAGAGAGAGAGAGAGAGGGAAACAGAGAGACAGAGAGAGATATTTAGGGCCACACTGAACATTCGGATCGTTATCACCTCCCTGCTACGTGCTTTACAAGGCACAAGCAGCAGCGCATCGCGCAAATGCCATCAGCCATCTGCTGCTGCTGCTGCTGCTGCTGCTGCTACACATATGTGTACTTCAACATCCCTCTAGCCCATCTCCTCCATATCATTAATGCAACGAGCGAAAACATGTACATAAGATGAAAACGCCAACCAACGATGCTACAGCAACTTTCTGCTACATACACGTCTATCTAGGTATTATCCGTCCGCATTCGTCGTCTCCCTAACACCTGCCTGCAATGGCGGCACCTCGCTCAAAATAGAATCAGTTCATCGGAGGTCAATTCAATAATGCAACAACGCAGGTAGCTACATAATCTCCAGCTAATGGTGAGGGCCCGTGATAATGGGCGAGCACTAGCTGGTTAATAAGTGCCAGTAGCCTGCATGCGGTTACCTAATCGTCCTGCACTAAACTACCAACTAACCCTGTATGTGGATGATGGCATCAGAGTCTTTGGTATGTATGTATGTACATTATTCCCGGCTACCTACCTACCTAGGTAGTGCAAAAGTAGAGCGAGGGCAGCCAAAATAACAAACACGAATGCACTACTGCTGAGCAAGTGAGAGCGCAACGCCAGTAATAATCAGGGGGTCCAGGAAGCCTCACGCACTGGGCAGGTATGTCTTCGGTCCCGAACATGTGCGTGTGTGCATTGCTTGTAATGGACGGCTAAATGAAACACGGACACACATGCATTCTTTAAAGGCAAGTAATTGCTCCACTACGTGCATGTGCAACTAACTGCAGCTTAGCCGGAAAATGGACATGCCCGGCTCCCCCACATCATACCGTATGATGTGTGACACCGTAGAGCTTGAGCACTGGGGAAGCCGAGCACTTCTATATGCAGGGGTAGAGCGTGGTTGCAGCAAGCAAATATGCGTGGTACAGGTAAGAAAACGGGTAAGCGTGCATGCACGATTCGTCATTTATAATAGGCAAAGCTCGAGTTGTCCGTGCGGCTCATCATTCCGGCGCTCATCACCAGTCCTCGCCTCATGCGCCGTTATCGCCTAGATAGCCTGCTGCCCAGCCAGCCTACCCAGCCTCCGTCCCCATTCTCTTCGGACTGTGTATGAGTGAAACGGACGTCCGTCTCGTCGACGATTGAAGCCTATGATTTACATAGCATCATCCTGTCTCCAGCTCATGGGCCGCCATTCTGTGAACCCCACCATTCGCCAAAAGCATTGACCGTGCGGCCAGCTCGAGCTAGCTGCTGAGCCAATGCAAAGACCATCTGCGTGGATGGGTTCTGCTGCCCCTGAGGAAACCACTACTGGAGCTTGTCACAGGCCGTATTGATGCCATACGGATATCCTGCGTACAGACGAGAAGGCAGCGCAGTTGGGTAGCCTGGTAAGCTAAAACCTCTGCGCAAGTTGGTTGGCTGCCAGATACCAGCAGGCCACACACAAGACGTTATATGCAGAGCGGGCTGGGCCTGCAAGGTTTGGTGATCTTCAACGTTTGTGGCTCAAGGTTATTAGGAGGACCGACTCCAGGTTAATAAACCACATGCACTGAGAAATTGTGGGTACTGCCGCATGCTTAGCAGGGCGTGCATGCAGTTGGCAGCTCGCCGGCTGAGTTGGCGTGAATGATGGCATAAATTCTTGCACAAGGCCAGCTTACAACTGCAGCACCTGGCAGTGATGGGCGCCAGATACGGCATGCTGTCGCACATAAGGCCGCAGGAGTGTACGAGCAAACTTGTACGGCGGGTGCGTCTAGAGCGTAGGAAGCGAGTATGCTTTGCAGGTTTGAAAATTCGACACAAAAATGAAGGACGAGCCGATTTAGTGCGACAGGGTACTTCGTGCACGCCCAAATCCGGATGGACTTCTATCTTCGAGTGACGGTGCGCCTCCACATCCTTGGTCGGCATCCGCACACCATGCGCATGCATGAAAACACGATGTACTCTATCTATCAATCGCAGAGACACACACACACACACACACACACACACACACATACACACACACACACACGTTCGCACGCCCGCACGCAAGCAGATAACGATTTCAGAAATCCAGAGAGTACTTACGCACTGCTATGAACGCCACTCGTTGGATCGGCACATATGTATAGCTCCACCCGTTTCTTGAAGCAGTGTTGTTCTGGGGAGATTGCGAGACGAGGCCGGCAAAGGTGAAGCCCTCGGGGATCCCGTCCCAAACTGGCCGAGATGTGCATGAATCACCCAGGGAGAGCTGTGTGCCGTTGGCCGTCATCAGGAGGATACGCTCCACAGCTCCTCCAGCAGCAGCTGGCTGGCAACAGACACCGAAGCGTGTGATGCGCATGCCGGGGTCGGTAAGGTACCTGAAATATATTGTGTCCCTGGTCGAAGGAACGTACTGTCCATGCAATGGGCCCAACACTTGGCCGTTGCAATCATACGCTGATTGTGCTGTATTAAGCCCCAGAGAACCGAAGCCAGAGAGGCTGCGAATAGGGTAAATCTTCGCAAGGTACTCGTCGGAAGTGGTGACATAGTCTATACCGCTGTTCGCATTGCAGTATAAGTGGCTCACGTACGTGTCTGCAAGAACAACAGAGGAAGGGCGGAACAAAGCGAAACGTAACGCCCGCTTAAGTAGTATGACAGCTTCGGCTATAAAATTGAGTACTTATAGAGCATCACCTATTTTTTCAGGGCTATTTATTAAACCACAGCACGATCCAAAGACTACTTCTAATTCTGTATCATATACGATTTATTTTTCGGTCTTAAGTATATCCTGCTTAAAAGAAACTTTTGCATGCGGGTCCTGCATACGTAGCACAATACATGCATATGCATGTTGCTTTGCCGTGCCGAGGATGGATGAATTAATCACTGACGCACGAGCAGCAAGCAAGTGTATTTGCAAATTAGTGCAACACGACGTACGAACCTGTGCTGACGATGGGTGGTGGCGGTGGCGGCGGCGGTGGAGGGCTTGGCATAGGGGGGCATGGACCTACTGCGTTAGTGACAATCGATGGATCCCGATAACCTGCGGGCATCCGAGCAACCGGAAACAACAGATATTAATAAGACAGCAGTTATAATTGGAAAGCAGTTCTCCATCCGCAGTTGAGTCCCAAGGGATACTAGTCGGTTAAGTAACGTCTGTTAAATTGAGGTTCTCTTCTTTTCTATACCGTGAATCTATATACGATCTATTTCTCGGTCCTACCTATCTAATGCTCGATAACCCTGCCTATAGACCATAAAAAACATGTTATCCGACGTAATTGTCAACCAAAGGCAACTTCCAGCCCGCACACAGAGAAATGCTAGCCGCGGTGTATGAAGGTACAGCACGCACAGCACGCACACCGATGTACGTATCAGCGACTCCGTGCATGGCTTGTGGACGATCCACCTACCCACCTACCCACCTACCCAAAACCCCAACTTCTTAGTCAGGTATACATGGTATGCGGCCAGCAGCTGATGACACCATTGTGGACCACACCTGGTTGTTTGGGGTCTCCGTCTGCATCCCCATCACTTCCGTTTGACCAACCAGCTGCAGCGCTAAAGTCCAAATACAATACGCTCACACCTATGTACAGCTTCCCGCACATCCACTCCACATACAAACACTAAAGCACGTGTGATTTGTGTATGGAGTTAAAAGTACTCACGTACGCTTATAAACGCGACCCGGTGGATAAACTGGTCGGAGCCATCGGCTGGTGACATTGTTGCCAGGCCGGCGAAGTAGAACCCGGAGCGAATATGGAACCACGGTTGCTGGACGCATTTACTCGTGCTGCCAATCTGAAGTGTGCCGATGTTGGTGACCATAATGATGGCCGCCGTTTGGTTGAATGCGGAGCCAGGCTCGGGGATAGCGCAGCACGCAGCAACTCGGAGGATGCCCCTCAGCATCGCCTCGCGCAAGTCCAGTTTATCGGTGTTCAGTGCAGGAGAGGTGGTGCCGTGCTGTGGACCCTGACGCCGGCCGCAGTCATAAGAGGATGACGCTGAGACGATGGAATTGCCGGAGGTTTGCCAGGCGATGGATTGGATGGGATACAGAGACGCCACGTATCGGTCTGTCTTTTGAAGGTATTGCACGCTGGGTTGGCCGCAAAAGAAATCGCTTAGCTCTGAGACCGTAGTAGCTGCAGCAGCCGGGGGACGAAAATGTTGGGGGTGAGCGAGCAGAGATTGAAAAAACATAGATGTATGGGGCAGCAGATAGATACTGGCCAATGTTCGTTACGTTGCAAAAGTACGCGTGCTCTTGGTAATGGTGCGAGTGCATTGAAGCGGCATAAGATCAGCGGCAACCGACGACCTGAAACACAATCATAAATAACTGCTGTGCGTTGGCGAGCCACGGATACGGAAGGCCCAAGACACATTCGCGTTCTTACTTTTAGATGCAGAGCAGTACTATACGTGTGCAGAGCTGAAGTTGACAGGGCCAGTATCATAACAGAACGTATGACTTACATGCCGATGGCGGTGGGGACGGAGCAAATCCGAGGGGCGGTACAGGATCCGGCGAAGAAGAAGGCGAAGGCGGACCTTGCTGTGTTGGTGGAGATGGAGGTGGCCGTGGTGGCTTTGGAGGACGAGGGGGCTGTGGAGATGGGGGCTCGGTTGGTTCCAGCGGCGAGGGGGAAGGTGGAAGCTGCGGTGCTGGAGATGGAGGTGGCCGTGGTGGCTTTGGGGGACGAGGAGGCTGTGATAACAGGGGTTGTACTGTGCGCGATGGCGAGGGGGGAAACAGAAGCTGCAGTGGTGATGGTGGTGGTGGTAGAGGAGGCGAATTTAGGGAAGATGGAGGCTGCGGTGCTGGAGATGGAGGTGGCCGTGGTGGCTTTGGAGGACGACTAGGCTTTGGAGGTGGCGGTTGTGTTGGTTGCAGCGGCGTGGGAGAAGGTGGAGGCTGCGGTGCTGGAGATGGAGGGGCCGTGGTGGCTTTGGAGGACGACTAGGCTTTGGAGGTGGCGGTTGTGTTGGTTGCAGCGGCGTGGGGAAGGTGGAGGCTGCGGTGCTGGAGATGGAGGTGGCCGTGGTGGCTTTGGAGGACGACTAGGCTTTGGAGGTGGCGGTTGTGTTGGTTGCAGCGGCGTGGGAGAAGGTGGAGGCTGCGGTGCTGGAGATGGAGGAGCTCGTGGTGGCTTTGGTGGACGACGAGGCTGTGGAGATGGGGGTTGTGTTGGTTGCAGCGGCGGGGGGGAAGGTGGAGGCTGCGGCGCTGGTGATGGTGGTGGCCGTGGTGGCTTTGGAGGACGAGGAGGCTGTGGAGATGGAGGTTGTGTTGGTTGCAGCGGCGTGGGAGAAGGTGGAGGCTGCGGTGCTGGAGATGGAGGAGGCCGTGGTGGCTTTGGAGGACGAGGGGGCTTTGGAGATGGCGGTTGTGTTGGTTGCAGCTGCGTGGGAGAAGGTGAAGGCTGCGGCCTGGTGATGGTGGTGGCCGTGGTGGCTTTGGAGGACGAGGAGGCTGTGGAGATGGGGGTTGTGTTGGTTGCAGCGGCGTGGGAGAAGGTGGAGGCTGCGGTGCTGGAGATGGAGGAGCCGTGGTGGCTTTGGAGGACGAGGGGGCTTTGGAGATGGCGGTTGTGTTGGTTGCAGCTGCGTGGGAGAAGGTGAAGGCTGCCATGGTGGTGGTGGAGGTGAATTTGCGGGAGTTGGAGGTGGCAGTGGTGGTGGTAATGGTGACAGGAAAGGAGGGGGTCGTTGAAATGGAGTTGGTTGTGGTGACGGCGGTACGTAAGGAAACTGCTTTGGTGGCGATGGCAGTGGCTGCGGTGGTGATGCGATAGGTGGAGATCGCTGTGATGGTTGTGGTGGCGATGGAAGTGTTGGCGGTCGTGCTGGTGCTGGTGGTGTCGGTGTTGGTGGGGGGGAAGGAGGTCGTTGCAGTAGTGTCGGTGGTGCTGGTGGTGTCGGTGTTGGTGGGGGGGAAGGAGGTCGTTGCAGTAGTGTCGGTGGTGCTGGTGGTGTCGGTGTTGGTGGAGGGGGAGGAGGTCGTTGCAGTGGTGTCGGTGGTGACGGTGGTGTCGGTGTTGGTGGGGGGGAAGGAGGTCGTTGCAGTAGTGTCGGTGGTGATGGTGGTGTCGGTGTTGGTGGAGGGGGAGGAGGTCGTTGCAGTGGTGTCGGTGGTGACGGTGGTGTCGGTGTTGGTGGGGTGGAAGGAGGTCGTTGTAGTGATTCTGGTGAAGGAGGTGGAGGTTGCGCTGGTACCGGTGACACCGGGGGCCTCGGAGGGGAAAAGGCCAGGGGTCCCAGATCACATGTCGACGCGTTCAGAACATCGACTGTGTACCCTGCGAGCACGCATGAAATCGTTTTCACAAAAGAGCCTTGCTCAGGATTAGAGCCACATCCACGACTTTGGTACAGGCTCAGAAGTAGCTAGTTACTCACATGCTGGTCTGGGTTGACACTACTGCAATTAGCGGTTTAAGGTCCTGGGTTCAATTCCTGGGTTCAATTCCTGGGGAGACCCCCGAATTAGTCGGGAGCGCGAGATTATGGCTAGCTGCTGAGATGTGGAGTTGAGGTCACAGTTGATGGACCAGATTCGCACGCTGGATTGGTGGCGATTGCCGAACCCTCTGTCTCTTCGGATGTTCGGGTGAATGGATGAGGAGGGGTCCCTGAAGGCTGGATCCGCCGCCTTGGACTTGCAGTTCGTATGGCGAAGTACAGTGTGGTAGTGGTGGATGGTGCTATATGGTGCTATAAGATGATCTAGAACTGACAGCGGCCCAGAAGCCTCCCACTCTGTAACATTACATTACATTACATTACATTACTCACATGCAGGGGGAATTAAACGGACAAGCAACCTAGCTAGCCATGTATGATGGTATGGGAACCGCTTAAGTAAAATGGAACGCGGGATATGTTATCTGCCATAACGTGGAAACCAATAGTCGTCTGCCTGCTGCTTCGAGCCGCAAGCCGGCAGAGGCATCATCCTAGGAATGCTGTGTAGCAGCTAAGATTTTGGATGTCTTATGCGAAAAAGCAAAGCATGCATGGGCATGCACCGGCGTGTTCTGTTTCTTTTGCTAGGATAGCCTATAGGCATGTCCAAATCTACGGACTCCGATACTTACGGGTAGCGATGAACATCAACTGCTGTATCCATGGTTCACTACTGCCGTTGGTAGCAGCCGACCTTGTCAGTAGACCGGAGAAAACGTAGCCCTCCGGGATGGCAACCCATGCCTGTGGTGTGGTGCACGAATCTCCTATGCTGAGCTCTGTGCCGTTGGCCGTCCGGAGCAGGATGCGCTGGGCAGCAAAGCCGTACTCTTTTGACGCGCAGCAAGTGCTGACGTGCGTAATGAACATCTTGGAATCGGTTAACTGTGACCGGAGGTCCAGGGAGATATTTCGCGTCGTCATTGTCGCGCTGTTATCACCGTGAATGGGGCCCTGGACTCGCCCATCGCAGCCATAGGTGGATACCGCAAACCGTAGTACCGCGTCTGCGTACCCGGACAGGGTTCGAATTGGGTTCACCTTGCTGACGTGTTCATCCGTGGTATTGGTGTACCCTTGACCGCTTGGGTAGCCGCAGAAACTGGGGCTCTTGAACACATCTGCAACGCACCGTGAGGGGGACGGGAAACAACAAGTGCTGCACTTTATTTCTTCTTTCCGGGTTGCGGCTTGTTCGTCCATGTACAGGTCATGATAGTGCGCCGTTAACACGACAGTCATGTATGCCTGGTGTAGCTGTAAGCGTTACATACCAAACAGCTTGCCCTGTAGTTTGCCAGGCACACATATTCCTTGTTCAATAAGATGTGGCTTACGATAATGGGCCATGCAAGGCGCATCGTCTGTGAAATGAAGGAGTGTCTATAAACCACCTATTTTCGTCATGACTTTATCCTATACCATGGCGGAATCCATAGACCATTCTATACCATGAATCTGTATGTATGACCTATTTCTCGGTCGTATGTATTATACGATGACCCCTGTCTATAGACAATAAACATTTTACCGACGAGTGCCGACGAATACATGAGCATTGTAGTAACTGGTACACAGTACGGCACACGTAACATCTACAAATACGCACTAAGCGCTTCATCAGATTCTCGAGAGGCCTTTTCAGCGGCCAGCTACTACACGCACACATACGCACATGCATGCATGCATGCATGCATGCATGTACACACAAACACAAACACACGCACACACACATATACATGCACACACACGCACACAAACACACCCACCCACAACAAGCACGCTTATTCCGTAGGGAATGAACGGTGTACAACACGCAAATGTATCGCATATCCTGTGTGTAAATGGCTGGTAGGCAGTGCACGCAGACTAACCATCAGCTCGGAGCGGCGGTGGCGGTGGCGGGGATCCTGTTGGCGGAGATGGCGGACATACTCCAGGGGCTCTTGCTCCTGGCGGATAACCTACAAGAGCGATGGCAGCATGTCAGCAGAACTCAACTACCATCGTGTCACTACATGGCTGGATTCGACTACATATTGTGCAGATGCGATCCGTATTTAGTAAAGTTCATCAGCAACAGCACCCCAACCCTGTCTAGGCAGGGCTGAAATCGTCCAGGACTGTGTGTATCGACAAGTGACGACATGCCCCTGAACGATAGTATGGAGAGTTAAACCTTAGCTATACGAGGGAGAGCCATGCAGGCTCTCCAGCCGGGCAGGTAGTAATGATAAAGATTGTTTTTAGGGAGCAAGCTGCCCCAGGGCCACACTATGGGCAACACCATTACGGCTCGTAAACCACAGTTGACAATCAGCCCAGCCCGCCAAGGGAGACTCAAAGTCTTGGGGTTATACTGCACACTAGCGGGTCTCACGAACTGAAAGCGGAGTCTGCTCGAGAGGAGAGCGGCTGCATCGGTAACCAGCGTTAAGGCATTAATGCCTTTGCACTTGCACACGTCATCGTGAAATGCTGCACAGAAGGGCGCCTCGTGGATAATACCGCAAACAAGGGATCATTAGCTTAGCCTACGCCAAGCAATGCATGTGCAGCTTATAGCGCCACCACTTTGATGGAACGGCCTCACGTAAGTTGGTTCCTTTGACTTACAGGCATTACGAGCATTACACGGCCGAATTCATGCCCTTCCATTTTCCACCTATGAATGCATGCACGAGAAATCACAAGATATAAACCCGCAGGTAAAACCTGTGCATAAATAAACACCTGTTGAGTGCGTGGATTCGCTGCGTGTGTGTCAGCTCTGGGCGTGTGTATAACTATTCACTTACGCACGGCAATAAAAGCGACGCGATGAACCCATTCGGCTCCTCTGTCCGCTGGTGACTGAGTGACGAGCCCAGCAAAGGTGTAGCCTTCAGGGATGTCGATCCATGGCGGGGTGTAGCTGCACGAACTAGCTGTGTCTCCGCTGCTGGCCATATCGTACTGCATGCCATTGGCAGCGCGCAGCATGACTTTGCTTGTGAAATTGTATTTGAAGTCCCGCGGAAGGTATGTACAACACGCGCTGAAGTGTGTAATGCGTGTCTTTGGGTCTGCCAGCTGCGACCGAAGTTCTAATACGGAGCGATTCGCTGATAGCATGTACGCTGCCACTCCGTGCTGGGGCCCTTGCCGTTGGCCGCAATCGTAGTAGGACAGCGCGGAGTAAAGGACGCCGCCTTCGGCTTGCCATGAAATGGACTCGATGGGGTAAGTGACCGCCAGGCTTACGTCTGATTTGGTCAGGTACTTGATGCCGGAGGTAAGCCCACAAAGGAAGGGACTGATGTACACATCTGCATAGAAGGCGTGAGTGCAAATAAGGTCGTGGTATTCGATGCGCATATGTGCACAAGCACTGGGGTACATACAGCAAGGGCGTGTTAGGCTGGATTGATTCTGATTCTGTTACTATGAATCCTGCACGCAAATGATAGGCTGAACTGCTCCCATTCATTTGCACAGCGTGAAGCGCTTACGTGTTACATAAGATATGCAGTAAAATAGAATAAAAATATATTATATTATATTATATTATATTATACTATATTATATTATATTATATTATATTATATTATATTATATTATATTATATTATATTATATTATATTATATTATATTATATTATATTATATTATATTATATTATATTATATTATATTATATTATATTATATTATATTATATTATATTATATTATATTATATTATATTATATTATATTATATTATATTATATTATATTATTTTATATTATATCCTATTCTATTCTTTATCATCGTCACCCACATACAAACGGTGCATGCACTTCCATACACGTATCACTTCAAAACGGCTGGTAAAGAATAAGCCGTCCGGAAACGATACGAACGGTAGAATGCACGTCACTCATACATAGATGAATCAAATCCACCGGGTTATTACCTATCATCCCCAATCACCATGGCCGGCAGCTGGTCCCTAGCTAGTTACTTAGGATGCCCGTGCACAAGCAGTGTTCAACCTGCTGGAAGCCCGCACTTCGTGTGCTGGCTGCTAATACGGTTGTGCCAGATGCGTTATCGATGCAAGCACCCATTCGCAGATCTGCTGACCTGAAGGCTCTATAGGCGGAAAGGGAGGAGGCGTAGGCGGTGCAGGTGGGCTGGGCGGTGTAGGCGGGTTGGGCGGGGTGGGTGGGTTGGGCGCCAAAGGCGGTGGCGACGGGGAAGGCATTGCAGGCGGGCTGGGCACAGAAGGGCGTCCAGCGACGACCTGTGGTATTGGACAGGTAGACTGCTGGCTATCTGTTTCCGCATCACATAGTCCAGCGGCGTTGGCGGTGGAATAACCTGTGTGCCAATATCCAGGGCAGACATACGCACAGACGTAGCATTTCACTGCCTGCACGGAGTAACTCTTAGCCGCGGGGAAGCGAGCCGCATTTGGCCTCGCCACAATGTGGCACAGTAAAAAGGTTGTACTGTGCCTAAGCTTTGTATGGGCCTCTACAACACACCTGTCGTCCCTGTCTTATCGTACAGGGCGCACGTGTATGGGGGCCCCCGATTCCATCATTGTGAGCATTATAAGCGCCATAACTAATAATCCTATGGTCGAGAAATATCGTGCATTCATGCGATCTATGGTAGGTGCGCGGAACCCCACACCATAATGTGCCTGTACCGCGAGCTAGCTAAGATGCCACTGCTGCCCGAGCTGTGCGTTTTGTGCGTGTCGGGTCTATGTGGCAGGGGTTTGGCCACATGCCAGGGTTTTGGAAGAATTGCAACACGAAGAGGGGTCGCAGGCGGATATCCGCGTGAATCTAGCTAGCTAATGGCGACTCCCAGCCCTACAACCTTTTCATCACCGGGTCGCGTCAGCACCTTGGAGTAATATTTCCTTTTCCTTCTAGACATTATCGCCAGGCTTTTCCCCTGATACTGCTGGTACTTACGCACTGCGACGAGCGCCACCCGATGCACCCAGTTGTCGCTGCCATCGGCGGGGGATTGCGTGACAAGGCCGGCAAAGGTGTATCCCGCGGGAACAGCCAGCTCCCGCTGCGGGGAAGTGCAGTTATCGCCAATCCGGAGGACAGTGCCGTTTGCCGTGCGCAGAGTGAGTTGTCGAACGGCGTTGCCCCAAGGCCCCTGGCCTGCGCAACATGCGCTCAAATGTGTGACACGCATGTTGGGATCTGACAGTTGTCGGCTCAAGTCCAAAAAGGTTACGCCATAGCCTCCGTGGATGGGGCTTTGATGAGGGCTGCTAATGTAGGAGGACACCACGAAATTGAGCACGGCGCTGGCACTGCCAATCATGGATTGGATGGCAAACGTCGCGCCGAGGCATGCATCCGTTGTGTTGGTGTAGTCTACACCCGAAGCGTACCCGCACAAGAAATCGCTCACAATTACATCTGTACGGACGACATACCGAGAGGGACGGGACATAGGGTCGTGAGATGTTCCTTCGCTACGTCATAGACCACATAGGCCACATGGTCCAAATGCATGCGCGTCATGCCGGATTCTTTTTAGGGCAGGCATAGAGGATGCCTTCCGAGGACCTTTTAGTGCACAGCTCTTCAAAAAGAGCTGCATACGGCAGGTCCAAACATTGCGATGCTCACCCACAAGTGTGCTCTCCTACATGTATTAATGGCTGCCGACTAACACCGTATCCATACCTAGGGTCCAAGGGTGGTCGCCAGCGTAATCTGCAGACATGGAGTGTATGGCTTTCGGCCCCGCTGTCCTACTTCCTCCCCTGGGTGCAAAGACCCACCCTCCTGAGGCTCCCGGTGTTACACAAGGTTGCAACTATCCCAACATTTTCATATGTTTCGGCGCGGGTATTAGCGGACTTAACCTTCACTGCATCCTATAGGAGGGGCCTTAATGCACTTCACCAGCCCACGAAGAACAAGCCAGTATTCCGAAAAAACGAGAAGAACAAAACAAAACAATTTTCGAACCTTGCATGGAAGGGGGTGGAGATGGAAATGTCGGTGGCGGTCGGTTAGCTTGTGGTACCGGTGATAAAGGGTTCGGTGGCAGTGCCGATGGCGGAACAGGGCTTGCTTGCATGGGCGGTGGCGATGGAGGGGTTGGAGAGGGTGGCTGGGGCGGGGTGGAAGGTGATGGGGGAGGGAAAGGCGGCGAGGGCGGAGGAGGGGTTGCTTGCTTTGGCGGTGGCGATGGAGGGGTTGTAGAAGGTGGCTGGGGCGGACTGGGAGGTGATGGGAGAGGGACAGGTGGCGAGGGCGGTGGAGGGCTTGCTTGCTTTGGCGCTGGCGATGGAGGGATTGTAGATGGTGGTTGTGGCGGACTGGGAGGTGATGGGGGAGGGACAGGAGGCGAGGGCGGTGGAGGGATTGCTTGCTTTGGCGGTGGCGATGGAGGTGTTGTAGAAGGTGGCTGGGGCGGACTGGGAGGTGATGGGGGAGGGACAGGAGGCGAGGGCGGTGGAGGGCTTGCTTGCTTTGGCGCTGGCGATGGAGGGATTGTAGATGGTGGTTGTGGCGGACTGGGAGGTGATGGCGGAGAGAAAGGAGGCGAGGGCGGTGGAGGGCTTGCTTGCTTTGGCGGTGGCGATGGAGGGGTTGGAGAGGGTGGCTGGGGCGGACTGCGAGGTGATGGGGGAGGGAAAGGAGGCGAGGGCGGTGGAGGGCTTGCTTGCTTTGGCGGTGGTGATGGAGGGATTGTAGATGGTGGTTGTGGCGGACTGGGAGGTGATGGGGGAGGGACAGGAGGCGAGGGCGGTGGAGGGGTTGCTTGCTTTGGCGGTGGCGATGGAGGTGTTAGAGAAGGTGGCTGGGGCGGGCTGGGAGGTGATGGGGGAGGGAAGGAGGCGAGGGCGGTGGAGGGCTTGCTTGCTTTGGCGGTTGCGATGGAGGAGTTGTAGATGGTGGTTGGGGAGGACTGGGAGGTGATGGCGGAGAGAAAGGAGGCGAGGGCGTGGGAGGGCTTGCTTGCTTTGGCGGTGGCAATGGAGGGATTTGAGAGGGTGGCTGGGGCGGACTGCGAGGTGATGGGGGAGGGAAAGGAGGCGAGGGCGGTGGAGGGCTTGCTTGCTTTGGCGGTGCCGATGGAGGGATGTAGATGGTGGTTGTGGCGGGCTTGGAGGGGTGGGGGAGGTTGTGGTGGGATGGCGGAGGAGGGATTGCCTGCTTTGGCGGTGGCGAGGAGGGACTTGTAGAAGGTGGCTGGGGCGGGATGGGGGGTGATGGGGGAGGGAAGGGAAGGGGGCGGTGGAGGGCTTGCTTGCTTTGGCGGTGGCGATGGAGGGGTTGGAGATGGTGGTTGGGGCGGACTGGGAGGTGATGGGGGAGGGAAAGGAGGCGAGGGCGGTGGAGGGCTTGCTTGCTTTGGCGGTGGCGATGGAGGGATTGTAGATGGTGGTTGTGGCGGACTGGGAGGTGATGGGGGAGGGACAAGGAGGCGAGGGCGGTGGAGGGATTGCTTGCTTTGGCGGTGGCGATGGAGGTGTTGTAGAAGGTGGCTGGGGCGGGCTGGGGGGTGATGGCGGAGGGAATGGAGGAGAGGGCGGTGGTAGGGGTTGCTTGCTTTGGCGGTTGCGATGGAGGGGTTGTAGATGGTGGTTGTGGCGGACTTGGAGGTGATGGCGGAGGGAATGGAGGCGAGGGCGGTGGAGGGCTTGCTTGCTTTGGTGTTGGCGATGGAGGTGATTTGAGAAGGTGGCTGGGGCGGGCTGGGAGGTGATGGGGGAGAGAATGGCGGCGAGGGCGGAGGAGGGCTTGCTTGCTTTGGCGGTGGCGATGGAGGTGTTGTAGAAGGTGGCTGGGGCGGGCTGGGAGGTGATGGGGGAGGGAAGGGAGGCGAGGGCGGTGGAGGGCTTGCTTGCTTTGGCGCTGGCGATGGAGGGGTTGTAGAAGGTGGTTGGGGAGGGCTGGGAGGTGATGGCGGAGGGAAAGGCGGCGAGGGCGGAGGAGGGGTTGCTTGCTTTGGCGGTGGCGATGGAGGGGTTGGAGAAGGTGGTTGTGGCGGACTGGGAGGTGATGGGGGAGAGAATGGAGGCGAGGGCGGAGGAGGAGTTGCTTGCTTTGGCGGTGGCGATGGAGGCGTTAGAGGAGGTGGCTGGGGCGGGCTGGGAGTTGATGGGGGAGGAAAAGGCGGCGAGGGCGGAGGAGGGGTTGCTTGCTTTGGCGGTGGCGATGGAGGGATTGTAGATGGTGGTTGTGGCGGACTGGGAGTTGATGGGGGAGGGAAAGGCGGCGAGGGCGGAGGAGGGCTTGCTTGCTTTGGCGGTGGCGATGGAGGGGTTGGAGGAGGTGGTTGTGGCGGGCTGGGAGGTGATGGGGGAGAGAATGGAGGCGAGGGCGGAGGAGGAATTGCCTGCTTTGGCGGTGGCGATGGAGGCGTTAGAGAAGGTGGCTGGGGCGGGCTGGGAGTTGATGGGGGAGTGGAAGGAGGTGAATACGGTGGAGGGGCTGCTTCCTTTGGCGGTTGCGATGGAGAAGTTGGGGAAGGTGGCTGGGGAGGTAATGGAGGTGATGGGGGAGGGACAATAGGCAAGGGCGGTGGAGGGCTTGCTTGCTTTGGCGGTGGCGATGGAGGTGTTGTAGAAGATGGCTGGGGCGGACTGGGAGGTGATGGGGGAGGAACAGGAGGCGAGGGCGGTGGAGGGATTGCTTGCTTTGGCGCTGGCGATGGAGGTGTTGTAGAAGGTGGTTGGGGTGGGCTGGGAGGTGATGGGGGAGGGAAAGGCGGCGAGGGCGGAGGAGGGGTTGCTTGCTTTGGCGGTGGCGATGGAGGGGTTGGAGAAGGTGGTTGTGGCGGACTGGGAGGTGATGGGGGAGAGAATGGAGGCGAGGGCGGAGGAGGAGTTGCTTGCTTTGGCGGTGGCGATGGAGGCGTTAGAGGAGGTGGCTGGGGCGGGCTGGGAGTTGATGGGGGAGGAAAAGGCGGCGAGGGCGGAGGAGGGGTTGCTTGCTTTGGCGGTGGCGATGGAGGGATTGTAG